AAAAAAAACAAAAACCGGGGTACTTCTAATAGCCACAAGGGGGCAGTATTTACTTTAGATGTCTCATCCTGAACTCATGTGAAGCAACTCCCTTCAGTAATGTTAAGACTACTTTAGATTCTCATGTTAGTTTTCCTCAGATCACATGATCAATTTTAGGTCAAATGCTGTGAATAAGTAATAATCAAGGACCAGTGTTTCAGAAAATATCACTTTTAGGCTTCAGGCAATGACAAAGCTACCAGGAATCTGCAGATGTGCAAGAAAGACCACATGTGAGGTGTAAATTCTCTCTGAATGAAGTGTTTGGAACGGAACGGGCACATCTGCACATCTGGAGGTCATCTGGCTTGCACTGTGATCTGTATAAATGGGATCCATACAGCGTGAAAAGGCCACCTAACTATTCCTGCTATCTCAAGCTGCAAGTCTACCCTTTAAAAAGAGACTTAAAAATCAATGATGCCTGTGCTTTGCCTTTATTTTCTTGACCCCACCTAATAAAGCTGTGCGAAGAGATCTCTTAGCAATATAGGCATAATTGAAGTGAGGTTAACGGCTGACCTAACTAAACTGCAGTACAATACACAGCCAGTAAACTTTGCCTAAGTTTTTACAAGATGCCAAAGACTGACTCTGCACTGCTAGCCAACATTGATTGCCTGCATTGCATCTGTGTACAAATCCAAGGATGAGGCATTCTGCATCAATACTAAAGACACCCCACAGTTGGATAAAAAACTTTAAACTGCACTTTCAGATTAAAAACAAACGTCAATAGTTCTGTGAAGAACTCGGCCTGACCTTCAGAAAGCACTGATTTACTTGCAAATATAAAATATAAAGATTTTGTGTGTGGCTACAAAGGTTAGGTCGCTTTGGGTGCATGATTTGGGAAGAATGTGAGGTTGTGTGTCCTTCAGTGACAGCTTTGGATCTAGAAAGCAGTTGGGAGCTGGAGACAAGAGGGCCTTACTTGAGTTCTGACCATAGCCAGGAGTGCCTCCATTAATATGAGGCTGCTGTTG